AGCGAATCACATCCAAGAAAAAAATATTTCGAGAGGATGGCAGAGACGATTGAGAATTTGAGGCAAATGCGAAGACACTATTTAGAATGAAAAAACCACTGGCAAACAGTACCAAGCGACTGCAGAACAGGTTGAGTAAAGCATGTCGTGCGTGTGTAAACAACTCGAATGTCGAACAATTTTTCATCTACTGGTTGAAAGAAGTCGTTCTGAAAAACTCCACTAAATTCTGATATCACTATGATTATTTTTATTTTAGTCGAAACAGGGTGAACGACAGTTGATGATATTAGAGAGGAAGGAATTTAGGTTTAATTGGGGTTTTGCTGACTAGTGTTATATTCCTCACCATGACGACTTCTCTCTCAAGTAGATTTTGAGGATTTGAAGTATGCTGATAAAGCAATTAACAACAGAACAATCCAACGTTTAACCCTGAAAATGGCATAATATTCATTACATACATATAAGTTGTACTATATTAACGTTTCAGAAGTAAATACTTAATTGTGCTTCAAACTATTCTCAATCCACAGTTTGTTTGAGAAGAATCTGACACCTTGCAATTTCAATCTTACTCAAATATACAGTCAAACTAGGCCTCAGTATCGATTACAAACAAAGAATGACCGCAGTCGACGTAATAAATATGATAAGCGGTCATCTTAAAAAATTCATGTCGCCTCTAAGATCTAATCTCAAAACCGCCTGAGTTTTATGCAAGTAAAACATTCAGCAAATTGTGTTTCCATTTCAGAATTTTCTCACACCAGCTGCATCCATCGATCACTCAAACACAAGTTAGAGGAAAGACATCCATTTAGTAAAGCTGATGTGTCCATTTTAAACAGAGACAGAGATCGTTCAAACCTATCACTACAGAATTCATTCATACAGCAGCCTGGAAGAAGGTTTCATGCGATGAGCATTTCTTATCATATCAGGTATGCAAAACCTGGGCTGCTACCAGGAAGGCTGCTGTCCGTGAGAAAGAGTGAAGCTAACAACCACCAATGAAGCTAAGATTTGTTCTGCATTCAGTTTTCTTATTTGTAGCATTTATACATTTAATACTTGATGATGTTACTGATTATGCCTTAACGAAATTCGCACAGATTAACATTCAATTTATCACAAACTATTAACAGAAAGTAAAGAACCGAACTTAATTTTTTTGTTAATTAAAACGGAAATAGTCCCGCGAGTCAAATTCTAGCTTACGACGGTTTACAGCCTGATAAGGATCTACACTAGCCTCAAACACATTTAGGAAAACAACAGCTTCCGTAAAATACGAAACAAATTATGGTCTTAATGCAAGTAGTAATTATACATAATAATACGCGGAACGTCAAAGTAAAGGTAAATGGACCACACTTTCAAGAATCTTCTAAGGAAATAGAGGAGCCTTTGCACATGATTTTCCTACCAATTAGCGGCGGAGTATAACTTACAGCTTACGTCTACACTTTTAACAAGAACCACTGATGATCCCGAAATAATTTACGAAATTAAATCTATTATCGCGGTGTGAATGACAGACAATCATTAATTGTTCTGATTCCATGGTAAAATAGGTTGTGTTGTTAAGTATGGAGACAGCAGAAATATCCGCCTTTACACAAAACTTTCGCTAGCTTTAAGCAACACTTGTAAACAACAGTCACAAAAAAATCTATAAAAATTCAGTCATTTGCAACTCTCATTATTATTTGAAGGTAAACAGGGGTTGAAAAGCGGTCCCGAGTTTTCTCGACTTAACTGCCTGACCTGATTCAAAATAGACTTCATATTTATTTGAGACGCTAGAGAAAAGCCTGTGTATCGCAGCTGACATACTAGCGTTAAACAATACTTTCATGATTATCTTCATTTACCGCGACCGCCACAAATGAACGATTTTTAGAGAGGACACCTGAATCTTTTGTCCTTTTGCCTTTTCGAAGCATGGCGATTTATAGGTCAGCGAATCACAATCAATCGTGCACGTTATTAATCTATTACACAATGGACCGACCGATTCCGAACGGCATAAAAATATTTTACAAGTGTCCCCGAAAAAAAAACAGCTCTGTTCCATTTTCAGCTTTCCTCAAGCCTAAAGCCAGCAACAGCGCGGAGATGACAAGGTTGGCAAATTCATTGCATTTTGTACTTGTAACAGCATTTTCAATGGTTCATAACATTAAACGATTTGTATCTGGAAATGGCGACTCGTCCCTATTCTATGGTTAGGTATTTTTCGCGCTGCTAACCAACAACTGACGAAGAAACAACCACTGACGAAGGAACTTTTCATCAACTTTGTAACAATATCTTCAAAAAACTTTCCGTATATAAATAGTCCAAAGTTACCATCATCAAAAAAAAATAGACGGTGCTTTAAAAGCAGCGTCCCTGATTTTTTTCAACCTGACTCTACTTCATTTGATTTAGACAGACGTTATGCTTAAGGAAGGCATTAAGTGGACATCATGTTTAAGTGGACATTATGTTTGGGATTTTTCTGTCACCAATGAGTGACTTGCAGATAGGAAAACCAAGATTAAATACATGTTTTAAGTTCGTTATAAATGACTTAACGCGCTATAACAGAGCTGTCACTTCAGCGCGTTTGAATCACATCAATCTTAAAGGGAGCAGAAATTTTCAACAGACAATCTAATAATCGCCAACTCTTCTTTCCTCAACTAAAACTTTGGTTCTGATAGAGAGGAAGTGGCAGACATCTTCAATCAACGGTATTTTCCTATTTCAGAATAATAGGCTGCAAAAATAAGGCACATTAACATACCATTATAAGGAAATTTTATTATTATTAAGACAGCACAGCCATAATTATTGCCAGAGTATAATGGCAGATAGAAATGATGATATCTGAAAAGATATTCGGAAATATCCATGCAAACGCAGCAAAACGGAGTCAGTTAAAGGATGCTCTGGAAAATTTTTCTAATACATGATTAAAGCATCAACCTTCACATCACAGATTCGATTAACCAATTTATGATCGGAATCAACTGATTTAAATTAATGGTGTCGATAAAGACATGTCGTCGACCGTTACGCACAACTTTATCATCAGCGTTTTACAAATAAACATCATTGAATAGTACGCTCAGAATCAACAACTGCAGTATGGCAGTGTGTTATTAAAGTTCTTTATGCATATATAATGCACTCGAATATTTCTTGTTTCAGTAGGAAAGCGAGGATTCCAGCACTTGCTTATTTCGTGTTAAGTTGGAATTCTGATCAGAATCGTTGGAATAAGCAACTTCTCGCAGCCCAGTCTCTAAGTCACCGCCATGAATGGTTGGATCGTATAACAAGAAACGTAAAGGCGAATTTAATCGCTAAGGTAGAGTAGATCCGAAGCGGCATCACGAAGTGAAGCAGTCACCCAGAAACTGTTTTTCCAGCAGTACCGGACAAAATCAAAACCTACGAATCGCTGCCGATAGCACGAAAAACCTTTCAAATTTTGCCAACCGCCTACATTGAAGAAGGCTAGCGAGAGGCGAACCGAAACGTCGGTAGTAGGCTGTCATCGGATCGACCATATTTTGTTGCGTTGTGTATAACTGTAATTCTAATGAAATATTATCGTCCATCGACAATGCGTGAAAAAATTCAAGAACCCGGTGAAAAGGACTAGACCAACAACAACACAAGATGTAGAACGATAACCGAGATCAAACTTCTAGCAGGTCAAGCTCCCGTTTCGGATCGATATTGACCTACGGTGATTTTTTCGACCGAACGCTCAAATAGGAAGGTAAAAATTATCAGGTTCGCATTCGTAATCAAAGGCTTTGGGAGCACGACTGAATGAAGTCAATCGTTAAAATACCGTTCACTTATGTTACCCAAGTTTCGGCGACGAACCAACAACCTTCTTCTAGAATTAAGTATTAGAAAAGTTAAGTTAAGAAAAGTTAAGCTATGGTCTCAGAGTAATAGTGAACGGAACACGCAGCGTTAAAATTTTGAGTATAAGACAGTGGCCCGATGGTGATGGCTTACGAGGAAAATGAATATTTCAAGACAGCAGGCTAAGGTGAAACGAGGGTATCAGAACTGAAACAAAACAAGATACGGTCTCTTGAAAATTTGTATGAAAAGATAATTTTTAAATATTAATTATACCTAGTAAATACGGCGACGTGTTAATGGCTTCACACCTTTGCTAATGATGCCGTAAGCGATACCGTTACGAACTCCGCATTTCTACCTTAAAATTTCCAGAACTAAAGCTGTTGTGAATGCGCATATTTTACCTAGTCTTGGGTAATCAAACTGCTTCGAAACGGGATCCGAAAAGTGGCTGTGCAAATCTTCCACGTTCGACCGTAATCCGAATTCGGGTGCTAAGGTTGTGTAACGAAGACGATATCATTCGCACATTTTACCTTGTTTTAAGAGCAGCTTTGTTGACGAAGAAACTGGATCAAAATGCTGGCAGTAAAACTGTACAAAGATCAGTGACTGTATGATGGTTATTTGCAGAATGCTAAATAATAACAAATCAAGTCAGCAGAAGAGAAGAGCAACACAAACCCTAG